CTGAAGAGAATGCATGTATCCAGCAAGCAAGAGAATGAGACGGTCCTCCATCAACACATGGTAGTTGGTATGGTAGAGGCAGTCTAAAACGCACTTCCAAATTACTACTATACTTTGAGCTAATCAATTCAAGTATATTTGTGGTGATGGTTTAGACCAGAGGGGTGAGAGATGGTCAAAGTGATTGACATATAGCACATGGGATCTTACTACATGGTTTTTAGCTGGCTCAGGGTGAAGTTTTTTCCCACTAAACTTTGAACAAATAGGTTAAGCCTAGATAATTACCTGCTTCCTTTTCTAACATTGTCATAATCTTTCCACTTTATTAAATTGCAGAAGATCGAGCAACAAGAGTACAATAGAAACAAACAATTTGTAGAGAAAAGAAATGCCCAAATTCGTTTCACATTGACCGTTTCCAAATGCTAATGAATTTTGATTACTTTCAAGGAAACCAGCATAGAGTACCCAGCAGGCTGATGCCCGAATTTGGATTGGATTTTCTGACAATCAACATTACATTTCAAACTGAATCTTGATTCTTGAATTTTAGAAAGTAAAAAATTAAAAGGTTTCAAGTTTCAGTCCCTGTCCTCTACCACTCCTTCAAAAAATACACATTCCAGAAAATATGGGTTTTGATTGTGAATTCAATATGCTGAATAGCAACTACTAACAAATGCTATTGTTGACCACCACATTTTCTTTGGTGATACTTCTAGTTTGTTTATCAGTACAAATTTGTAGTGCAATTTTGCCTGTATTGTCACGTAGAATATCATATTATCCCATGACATTTTTCATGAACGGGCATTTCTCTTCTGGTTAATTCAACTCTTCATTCTTCATCTACACCCAAATTTCTACTTTGATCTCTAAATTTTTTAAAATAAAATATTTTAATCCCTAAAATATAAATTTATCCCACTTAAGTAAAATCGTTGATGGAAATGAGACTCAGACAAAATTTTATACTTTAGAATCTAATTAAGTGGGAGAAATTTTATACTTTGAGTGAAAATTTAGAAATTGAAACTAATGCTTTTTCTTAGGTCTCTAATTTTATCTCTTTAGGAAAACATTACCACTTCAATCATTCCAGCACTCAAATATTTCCCAAAATTAAATTTCAATCTCAACTTGATCTTCTATTAGTTAGACCACAAGAGGGAATGCCATCAGCACCCGAGTACGAGGTGGTAAAGCAACTTGTGTAGTATTATACACATGACCTAGACTACTCAATCCATGACCTGTAAATAACTTAAGCTACACATAACCAAACAGGATAAGGCAACCGTAGAAGCCTGGGAACTCAGCAATTTTGCTGCCTGCTTTTCTTTGGTGAAAACAATATACTGCACAAAGCAACATTGGGATCCTTGTTCCAGACCTTTTTCCCCCCACATACAAGTTCAAAATGGCAAGCAGATTGACACAAGATGGAGATATAGCAGTACATTAGCCATTAGGCAGAAAAGTTAAAGGAACAGGAAGAATTTATGATTAGATTTCTTAGTGAAAGTAAAAGTACCAGCATGCAGCTCACCATGCCTTTCCGTAAAGTGATGGTAACATTTCATGCACAATGGGCACATCCGGTCTACTTCAAATTACTCCTGCTTTCTCTTTGGTTTAATCAGAAGCATGTGGCATATTATCAACAGCCTAACTCTTGTCTTTTTGCAAATACTGAAATCTTCATGGTTCATACAAACTAATGTTGTGTTTCACCAGCCTTAGTCCTACAGTTTGGTTTACATATATACGTTGATGATATCTTTAAGTATTCATGAAAATGATAATGAAAATAAAGATGATGATAAGAATTTTGCAACTGGCAATCGTATTCATGTACTGTCTCACTGACAAGGCGAAGGGATGCGTTGATCATTTGGTTCTGATACAGGAAATTTTAGATGATGTTAAGAATCTCTATCGTTCTTTCTTGGTGTGTCAAGAATTCAGGGCGGATAAACTTTTCTGCCCATGGGCCATGGGAAGTGGAAATTACATTTTAGTTTAACTAGCAGGTCCAAATTATAGATATTTCCTTGTTGAGCAACAGCTAAAAGAAAAAAACGACAAGACAACAAAGAGCTCTCGACAGGAGGAGTATTCTTGAAAGCAAGAAAAATAGAAAGGTTTAACAAAAAAATGCTTGATAGTTCAATAGCCTCAGTACCCCTTTTTAGTTCAAAGCTCAGACCTTCGAGGACGGCTTTTTCCATAAAGAAATTACAAATAGTGAAACATTATAGGAACTTTGAAAAAAAGAAATTATATGACCATTGTCCTTTGCATTGTAGGCAAAACGCCGCCTTGTGGCTGCTGGGATTCGAGCCCAGGTCTCTACGGCCACAACGTAGAATTCTAACCACTAAACTACAGCCACGGGATGGTCACAGTGCAAAACAATAAAATAATTAATCTAAGTAGTTATGCAATCCCTGTAATGGCATTATCATGCAGCAGACCCCACTTAATTTGAAAATGCAATTTAGTAATCCGGACTCCTTAAAGTTTATGATCATACATTTGTACAATTGTATGTCTGTAACTGTCATCTCAGACAACTATTGAAAGAGTTGGATAATTACAGCTAACTATTAGTGGACCATAATAAAAGATTATCAGGTCAATCAATAAATTAGCTTTTTCAAATGAAACTTAAATTGCACAACTTCACGTCTCACATGTTTTTGTTTGCAGGGATTAGGGTTCTAACTGGTATCGAATGCACACATGAGAGTTGATGTTAGAACTCTTAAAAATTAAGGTCATAATTGGTGCTGAGAGCCAGGGATGCTGGCGAGTTGAGGCGCTCGCAAGCGACTTGGTCATACACTCGACTCGAATTCGAGTTGATTGAAGTTCGAGATTGAGCTATTCATTTCATCTCTCAAGTCGAGTTGGAGCTCCCTTGTGTGCTACTCAAGTACTGGATGAGCCTAATCCAATAGTTTTATTATTTATATAATTATTCATTTTAATTACAAATTGACCGTTAAGGGTTATATTTTAGAGAAATTCAAATTTTTATTCGAGTACTTAGAGATTGAGAATAGGATTGAGTCTTATTGAATTGAGTTCGAGTTTATACGTTCTCCTCACGAGTCGAGTTGAACTACAAGTTCTCTTGCTCGATCGAGTTGAATTCGAACTGGTGTAGCTTGAGAATTTATTGAATTTGAACTCAAATACAGCGTTACTTGAGTTCAACTCGACTCACCCTGAGATTTGTCTGACATATGTAGTTGTCACGAGCTCGAGCACACAATTTGATATGAAATACTTAGTTTATTGAATGACACGTACAATGTTTGAAAATAAAATCATAAAAATGATCTTGACATGTTTGATTATTAGTTTATTACCTTACATGTGAAGTAGTTACCAAATATGTAAAATGCTACAGTCTTTCTCACTAATCTAGTACTAGTGCTAAGGACTCAATGGTACCGTAGTAAAATCTTTCTCAATTTGAAAGTTGGAAAAGGAAAACTATTTAGTAGAATCATTTGTTTGCTGGAACCAGGTGGTTTGGTTCAGCAACCACTTCTAAGTTCCATCATTTTGTTTGGGCTGCATTATAGACTGAATGGGAATAATAGACTGAACTTTGTCATTAACTTGTTGCCGCATTATCAAGTGGATTGATGATTGTAAGTCCTGGTTTCTAGGATTCTCTCACTGGCTCTTGTTGGGCTTTTCTTGTCTTCTTGCTGTTTTACGCGATTCAGCATTTGGGGATCTATCTGCGTTTCACTGCACGGGCGCTGTGACTTTTTGCACACGCGCTTTGACTTTTGAACCTTCCATGTAAAATCTTCTTAAGTATTCCCCACAAATTCACCGGGATAAAAATGCAGGAGTTTTACAATCTAATAAATTAATGCCACTTAGGATGCGTTCGATAAAATTGAAGTCTAAAATTTAAAATTTGAAATCTGAATCCATTAAATTATTGAATTGTTAATTATCAAATCTAATATATTCGAGTGCATATTAAATTCAGTAATAAGTGAATAGTTTATCACTAAATTTTGAGAGCAAGTTTTATCTAGAAAATTCAGTGTCACTTAATTAATTCAGATGTTCAATTTTTGATTATCAAATAGCTTGAATATGTTAAGATTTAAAAAATTCATTAAATTTAAATACTAAATTGAATTATCAACCAGAATCTTAGTATATTAAGCTGTATCACAATCTAATAAAGGGGGATGGCGGGACAGTGGACTCAATGGGAAGTGGCGGGTGGGGCTTTCTGGTGGGGAAAAGTGAAAAAATTTGGAGTAATATATGATTTACGGTAGTATTGCTTTGAATATAATTTGTAATTTGCCATGCAAGTTTAGCAAGCGCTTTATTTATTTATTTTTTGAGCTAAAAATGTCATTATTGTTAAGGGCTACATCATTATGATCAAGGATTATAATCTAAATTTTGATGAATGGTTCAAAACTAAAAAGAAATCTTTATGCTAGTAGCAACAGTCAAAAGAGCATTCAAGTTTGGATTAGGGAAGTTTATACACTTTCTCCTTTTGTCCCCTTTTGCCCTTTATTCATGACGATCCCAACTTGATACTTTCTTTAATTATACAACTTAACTTGCACGTTTAGTTGGCCCATCCCAGCACACGATAAGACACCCCATGCCATTTACCTTTCTTAACCATTTCTTAGGATTTCTCTATCACAATTGTTTTTTTTTTTTTGGGTCTTTGTTTCATGTTTAAGAATGTATGACTAATTTATATTTCTGTCATTAGTGTAGATTTATTGAATGAAATAATTTTTTTTATTAAAAAAAAAAGAAAAAAGTATGTATGGCTGATTCAGTATAAAAATATATATACATCAATTTGTGTGAATATATTCTAAACGTCCTGACAAATGTGACTACTGACTACAGTTAAAAATCTCGTGTATTTTTTACTTTTTCTTTTGCTGGGAATCCCTCCAAGCAGTCATGTTGACCACTCGCTCCGTCCGGTTATGATTGGGATGCCCCGCGGCACACCTTAAAGCTTCGACTCGGCTCTTTTTTGTACTATGCCGGTCACACAATTCAATTCAATCCTCATAATTGGTTTCTTACGTTGGACTCTGCTCACCTGTAACTAATTTTAAGGAATACTATCAGAGCCCATAACACTTCCGAGCAGTTGAATTTCCTGTAAACGATTCAAGAAGACCGCGACCCGCAAACATTTTCCTCTCCGCAGTCCGCACCAGGTATGTGCTTCCTATATTTTCACTTTGTTAAGGAATATTATGTCAACCGTTGAATCTCGCAGTCCTTTGTCTCTTTTCTGTTCTGGTTCTTGTGGAAATGGAGAAAAGTCGTGGCTTTATGCCAGAAATATTTTGTGGGTCTGCATTTTTTTGGTGGGATGTGGTGATTTTTGAGGATTAATGTTGGATTTTGAGCTCATTATCCTGTGAAATGTGAAAAGACATGACCAGTAAAAGTTAGATATTGGACTGGAAGTTTTTTTTGTCTTTTCTTTTTTGAGTGATCAAGGCTCTTTTGTTTGTCTACTGTATGAAGTTAAGGTTAAAAGTTAAAAGAAGTCCTCTTTTTCTGAATGTGGAAAACTGCAGAATAATGGTGGACTTATTAAGTCGATAATTTATTGCTTTAACTGCTAGAAATCCCTGTTATGGGGCTTGATAATATTCGCTTTCGGCACTCTTTACAAGCTGAAATTGTCAAAGATGGTGTGGGAGGCTATGCATTATATCAAAAGATTACTCTGATAGTTGCCAAACAGGGTGAACAAGTAGAAGTTCTTTAAGAAGAGACGCTCATAATTGCTTTCGTTTTGAACCATAATTTAGGTCTTCTGGAACTCTATCATGCTTGGTAGTTTTGACATGTGATGTATATGATTGTATGAGAACTTGTGATGGAACATTTTCATAAAGTCAGCCTTACTATAGCACATAAATGTAGCTTCTAAAATCTGACCTATATAGTTTCTTTCTGCCTGCTTTTGTAAATTAGCTTCTGAACTTTGAAGACTGAATGAAAAGTTATTTCTTTCTTCTTTTTCCCTTAATTAACATACAAATAAAATCTTTGCAGTACAGATAAATGTGGGACTTGGAGGTGATATTATAAAACTTGAAGAATAAGCTAGTTACTGCATTTTATTTGTTCAATTTACATGAATGTGCCCAACATTTGGGGGATCTTGGATATAGGTCAATCTATGTTCACCTGTGAGGTTGTGGAGTTGACGATGCAAAAGCAGCATATCTGCTTCTAGGGCAAAGCTGCTTATATTGGCCCTTTCGAGTTATGTGGTGGCACAAAGCCTTGTGAACAAGTAATGTCTGCATATTTGGATTTCAAGAGGTTAAAGCAAGTGTCTAATATGCTTCTTTTAAGTAATACGTATTGTTAGCTAAAGAGCTAAGCCTATTCTGGAGCTAATAATGTCAACTGACCATAAAGGCTATTTCAGGCGAGCCTTGATAGTTTTCGTGAAAAAAAATGTTGCTTCAAATTGTGATTGCTTTAAGATAAAATTCTGGCATGAGAGGTCAAATACAAATGGCTGGGCGACTAAATGTAGTTTGTTAGATGTGCAATGTATACTACTACTAGCTTGTACGATCTAACTCTGATTTTATTGGCATTTCCAGAAGAGAGACACCTTAAGATCTGTGTACATTATGAAGATGAAACTTTGATGCATCATAAAGAAAATGTTTCATGCTTTTCATGCCTACTTGTGACTTGCAAAATGTTGGGTGAGTGAAAGAAATGAGTGCCGAAGATTCCTAGAGATGCATAGTAATGTATTTGTCGGCTAAATACTAGGATTGAACTTCAAGCCTTATGTGTGCTTTGAAGCTTGTCTCGTGTATCCTATATAGAGTAGGTTTTGGAGTTCTTGAAGACAATAATCATTGCTTAAATTGATTCATTATGGTATACTCGTGGCTAATAATGGGGTTATATCATAATTGTAATAAGACATTCATTGGACATTTCATTGGACACACAGAGAGACATATATACACCCTTAATGGCTGTATTTCCCTCTTTATATTGATGGCAATCTGTCTAGTAGCTTTTTTGTATTTCCTTTGTAGCCTCCTAGAGTCTGTAGTAATATGTTTTACTTTGAAAAGACTTCTGATGCCTTTTTTTTTGCTATTTCAACATTTTGTACTGATGTGACTAATTTTATCTGGATGTCATAATTATGGGACTAAATGTTCAGCTTATGGTGTAGTTGATTTCTTCTGGCTTAGCTACAGCCTTGTTATACTCCATTTCCTTGAGTTTGACCTGTACTGGCTTGTTGGACACTGCATGCCTATCAGCAACTCTTCTGATTTTCAATTCTTAAACCTGAACTTTTGCCTGTTCCAGGGTTTCAATGGATGATCGGGCTTCTAATAGCTTTGAAACTGCTGAATCAGACTCTGCAAAAGTAAAATTACCTGAAAGTGTTTCATATGAGCTCAGGGTATCGGAAGCAAGAAATGCCACGGAATTTTTAACTAGAGCAGATTTGGACCTAGCTTACTCTTCTCACAAATTGGTGAATTTGGGTAATCTTTTAATGCGTGTTTAGCCTGGCAAAATGATGTGAAATCAGTTGTTGAATATGATGATATCTCTCCAGAATTTATTGAGAAGGCAATGGAATTTGATATCTTGAGTGCTATTTTGAACTCTGAGGTAAGAGAGCTGGATAATTTTATGGGCAGTGTTCATGCTGTGTAATTAATGCTCGTCATAAGATAACTTCATGCGGAAAGCTAAATGATTTGTCCAGTATAGTGGAAAGTAAAATGCATGACACTGAAGAATCAGTGAGAAGATCGCAGGATCATATCCTTGAGATGAAAATGCAGTTAGCCAAGCTGCAGATGACATCATTAGCTTTCAACCAAAATGAATGTAAGTCATAGAATGTCACTTAACAAGGTTGGATCTCCCATTGATTACAGAATTAAGAAGCATGGTTTTTTTTTTTTTGTAACTGTTTATTTTTCACAGGGAGCTTTAACATAGGTGTGGATTTATCAGAAAACTCTGAAGTTCCAGGAATATATCTGAAGCCACAACTGCAGTCAGTTGAAAGGCGACATATTCTAAGAATGTTGGAAAAATCGCTTGCTAGGGAGCTAGATCTTGAGAAGAAGTTAACAGAAATAAAGCAAAATGAAGAAGATATTAAGTTAAAGCTTCAATTAACTGAACAAGTGGCTCTGTTCATGGAAGAGGCAGCGGAGGTAATTTGGGGTAGGTTCCTGGAGGCTGAAAATACATCAGAGGTTCTTATGGGCATATCTAAGGAGATGGTTGGTCGGCTTCAAATTGCTCGATTCAACTTAGATAATGCAATACAAAGAGAAAGCAATTTAGATTCTAAACTCCAATATTACATTGCCAATCAAATGCAAAAGATAATACAATGGAAAAGCTTAGTAAGAAAAGGGCACAGCTTGTTGCTGAAACTGCTGAAGCTGCTTCTCTAAGGGAAAGAGTGAAATTACTAGAAGAGCACTTAAGAGAATCAGTATCTCAGCTGAAGGCAGAAAAGGAAACAAATGAGACAAGTCAAGTGCAACTTGCAGAAATGGATGGTATCATTGAATCCATGAGAGAAACCATTGATGAATTTGAGGCTAGAGCTGAGAGTGCAGAAGCCAAGGTTACTCAGCTAACTGAAACAAACTCAGAACTAACTGAAGAACTCAATTTTTCTGAAAGGAAGTAATGATACTAATAGCAAAAAGGTGAGCTTAATCGAGAAGCAGTTGAGAGACCTAGAACTGCAACTTCAGCATTCCAGGGCTTCATCAGAAGCAAGTCAAGAGCAGCAAAACATGTTGTATACTGCAATTTGGGATATGGAAACTCTTATTGATGAGTTGAAGCAAAAGCTTCAAAGCTGAAAACAAGACTGAGAATGCTGAGGAGCAATGTGTGGTGCTGTCAGAAGCTAATTTAGAACTCAATAAAGAAGTTGAATTTCTGAAGACTAGAATGGAGTCCTTGGATACAACTCTGGATCAGGCTACTGTTGAGAAAATGGCGAGTGCAAAAGACATAAATATCAAGACCAATGTGATTATGGATATGGTCATGCAACTTGCAATGGAAAGAGAGCGCATAAACAAACAGGTGCTTAGTTTGGAGTCTTCTTTTCCATTTCCTTTGTTTCTGTTTTTCTTTACTTGTTTCTTATCTATAATGCCCTTCTCAGTAAGAGTGAGTACCAAGGATGATCAATTTTTGTGCACTTTTAATAAATTGTGACTTGATCACAACCTCTAATAGCCTATAAAAGCTGAAATGATTGATTTGGTGACAGTTCTATGATTTAGCAAAGGAAAATAAATTGCTCAAGGAGAAATTAAGGAAAGCAAAGAAGGCGAGTGTTTTGCTTCATGCAGCAACACAGATCAGAAGGAAGAAGAGCTTCCTTCACTCAGAGTTGACTTAACTGCTACATCATGTACACTAGCTTCACATGAGAAGGCAGCAGAATTCGCAGACTATAGCGTCCAGGCAGGTTTTCTTTTTCTTTTTTTCTTTCTTTCTTCTCTTCACAAACTAAGTAAGACTTGTAAAACAGATGACATGGAAGTATGGTCGTAGTTAGAGGTCTAGATACAGCAACATTTTGAAGATAAGATACTTTTCATAGCTTCATTTAGTGGCTTGTTGCAGTTGGTGGATTAGTTAGAAGAAAATGTTATCATTTAAGCCTTTGAGACACCTCCATCAGTAGAAGTTTACCATCAAATTATGTTTCAGCATTACGTTTGCATTTTTTCCATTTCGAAATCTTTATTAGAAGAGTCTAAAATCAGATAAACAGTCAGTACCTACCATAAATGCATCAATGAGGATATCAATGAAGATCAGGCTGCAATAACAGGGGAGTTTGCAGTTTGCAGTTTGCATAATGCTAAGCTATTATCTGGTGTTATTTCCACTCTCAAGCATAAACACTGGACTGGCTTCTCACTTTTTCGCTGCCCTAATTATCAGGAGCATGATGCTTTTATTTTTGTTACAAGTGATCATCATGATGTTTTCACCCCTTGAATCAGGTGGAGGAAACACTTAAACAGCATCTGCAGATCATCACAAATAGAATCCTCCATTTCTCCAGAAGATAGCAGCAATTTGGTTCTGAAACTGGAAGATGTGAATGTAGTAAACACAGGGAAGACCAGCCGAACATACATCTTCATGGCAATTTTAGTTGTACTGCTTCCAGTTTTAGCAGCATATTTCTTGAACAGGGAACAAGCCATTTTCAACCTCATCGAGGTTAATTCGCAGTTGCTTTGCATGGAATACATTCCTTTTTCTCGACTGTACATAATTCTTGGCCGTAGTGCTTGTAGTATTTCATTGATTCATCATTGTTGCAATTGTAATTTTGCTGCTTGCCCCAATTCTTTTCAGAATGAGTTTTTAGATTGTGTAAATGCAATAGGTGAGGTCTTTAACTACACTGTTAGCACTTGTATTTGTAGAATTAGTGTGAAAGGTTGCTTTTCTTCACCTGTCACGTATCTGTGAATATCAGAAGCTTTCCAAGCACATCATTTGGGACATTTCCGATATGATGCATGTGTGCTTTGCTTTGAAGGTTGATTGAAAGAAGTCTTGGGATGAACTGGGATCATATATAACTTTAGGCTCCTGCTGGATCTCTCACTGTTAATTGTGGCAACCAAATTTTATTAGAAAGTGAAGGGGGCTAATAAAAGGCATTAAATAAAGAAAAAGAAAAAGGTCCGTAATAATTGGTTTTTTCTTGTTCCTCCACAATGAAATAAAGAATTGAAATCTTATTTTTCAAATTTCAAAGAAAAGGAAGTGATTTTATTATTGTTTACAATCTCCTTCCTACTCCTTTCTTCCCCTATTCCTCTCAAAGATATAAAAGATAATTTTACGTAATTTTGTATGATTAAAAAAAAAAGTCGTTTTTTGTTTTTGAAATAAGAATGGAAATCTTCTTATCTGCAATTACAAAAGGAAAAGGGCAAAAAAAAAAAAGGATAGAGAAGTAAACTACGTCGTTTCCCTTTTCTCGAAAATGAAAACTAGACCTAATTCAGCGCCTGCAAACTAAACCTAATTCAGCGCCTATAAATAGCACTGAGCTATTAACTCCGCTCAGGTGACAACTTCACTCTGTCTAAGTAGTCTGTACAGCTGATGAAATCAGATGCTCCACTTCTCAATCACTTGGAAAATCTAGCAAGTTTTTGAAAGCTTCAATTTTTCTGTTAAAAGGTTCTTCAAGATTCGATTTTTCCAGCTTAATCGTTAGTCATTTTTAAATGAGAGATTATAACTTAGTGCACCAATCAGCCCTTTGCAGTTTCAAGTCCTTGATTGCAAAGAAAATTCGAGATAAGGTATTTATGGTGCTAGATTTGCTTTTTCTTTGGAAGAGTTCTTCTGGTTGATTTAATACTTTTTTAAGTTCAACTCCCTGCAACCAAAGAAAAAAAATCTAGCTCTCAGTTTATTTGTATGAAGAAATTACTACATGTTTTTTATTTGTGCAAAGCAAAGGGATGAGATGTATCTATAGTCTGAATAGTTTTCAGATGTTGATTGTTAATCATCTTGTTTTGCCTTCAAAGTTCTCTGATTGCTTTGCCAAATTTGGGTTTAATCTTTTCTTTTTCTTCTTGTTATTATTATTATTACTTGGTTTTGATTCTGAAAATTGCAGTCGGACTGCACTAGTTTCTTCCAGGAAATATTTTTGGTTTCAGTCACTTGATTTTTTTTCAACTTGATAGGTAGCTTGCATCAAGTACAAGGTTAACATTTAATAGAAGTGTATAGGCTTCTTGAATTATCTGATTATGATTCGACAATTAGCATGGCATTGAGAATCTATACTCAAATAACGAGGTGTTGGATCTATGTGTTAATTTTCATCGGCTTTGAAGCAATAAATGATAAAAAAGAGAAAGGCCGTTTAATCACACCTGAATGCTAGTTTGCACAGATCTTGGTTTAGACGGTGGAATTTGTAATCTTACTTAATCTTGCAACTAGACTAGTATTGGAAATGTGACATGAAGCTTGCCTTGGTCGACAATAAATGATAGAAAAGAGGCTGTTTGATCACACCTGAATGCTACTTTGCAACATATCTTGCTTTAGACTGTGAAATTTGTAATCTTACTTAATCTTGCAACTAGACTGGTATTGGATTCCATTGCGTTCAACTTGATTTGCGTCCTCTGTGCTTGTTGCTCACATGGGCATGTATGGCTTCTTAGATGTGCATTATTTATATAAACAAGATTAATTGAGATGTGTCTTTCACCTTAGTCATGGCCATTCTCACAGAATTTGTGCTTGGTGATGCCAGATATATTGTAATGTCGTAGATAATCTTCTCTGTTTTGTGGGTTTGATGCAAATGTAGAGCAAAAAATGATGAAAACTCCTGGATCTAATGGGTAGATGTGGATTATGTTCTAGAATGGCTTTCAAAGTTCTCTTATTGCTCTAATTGGTTTTGCCATGTACATTGCACTGGCAGTTTTATGCTTCCGGCCAAATTTCTAGTGGCTTTGAATGAAAACCATCAATCATTTTTGCAAGTTATAGGTATAGATTCAATAGATCAAATTACTCATTGCTGCAACTTAGCAATTCTTTTAGACCACATCATCTATACTTGCTGGTAATTAATCAACCAAAATGTTCCACGAATCTTTGATTTCATCTTTAACTTTACCTGAAAGAATGCAGGGAGCGTGAAGCACCAAAATACATAGTCGTTTGTTACCCGTCATTCTGACTATACGAGCATGGTGCTAAATAAATGGTTTCTTCTCCTATTGCCAGTTGGTTTGTGGCACCTGGCAAAGGTTGATGGAGCTTCAGTCTTAGAAGAGCGACATTTTGCTGGGATTTGTCATTGAAGTTAGTTTTAGTTCGTTCTAGTTTCTATCCAGTTCAATGTGAAGCACCTTAAATTCTAATGGATGCTTGATCCATATTGTTAACTTTCTTTGGCTTGTAAACAATTAATCAATAAAGACATAATCTCCTCATCTCCATTCCCATTTTTCCGTCAAAACTGTATACGTTTGTCATGGATGATACCTAAAATGAGAACCTTTTCAGCAGCTCTCTGCCACTTCATGCGCGCAAGACAACCAGTTTTTCTGTTGGTAATCTCAAAATTTTCTTGTTTTGGAGAAGGATATGTTACCTGAATTCAAACTGGTACCTTTATAATGATTATTGCAAGAGAGGATAAAGTGTTAAAAAGAGTATTATTGAAACAATTGTCCAATATGCATCTGTGTAAAAGAAGGTTGAGACTTAGCAAAAGCACAAGAAGTCTGTTGTAGGAATTGAAATTTGTGAAATGCTGCTAGCAGTTCTTGAGGATCTGGAATGGCCATCATAGCATGGCGAATTAAAAATCAACAACTTATTAGTAGGCTCAATTTTGTATATCCGGAAATTTCTGCGTAGAAGAAGATAATTCATCGATGAAAATAAAAGAATGGACTGTCTAATGGGTGCCCATAAGATGTATTTTAGGTAGGCATGTCAATGGGTGGTAGGGTCTGAGTTGGATCCCTTTGATTCAGATCCAGACCCATTTAATTTAGTTAGACCCAAATTCAGATCCAAACCCTTGTGGGTCTGAAAAATTAAGGGGCCGCTTGGTTCATGTTTAGGAATCGGAATTGTAATTGGAATCATTTACAAAAAAATTAGTATGGGTTTTGGACAAAGGTATGATTACAAATGGGGGTGCTTGGTAAATATTGGTAAGGAATGGGTATCAAATTTAATAATCAATTTTTTACCTTTAATTTCTTTTTTCTTTTCATATCTTTCTTCTTTCTCGTTCAAATGCTTATCCCACGTACCCATCCACCATATATATATTCATATATAAATATTAATTTTCTGTTTAAAATATATTTATAAATATTTATATTTATATTTATATAAATATATAAATATATTTATTTATATATTTTATAAATTTATAAATATATTTATTTCAATTTTGTTTTATAATATGTATATTAATATATATTAATTTGTATATTTCAATTATGTATTATATATATAAATTATAGTAATATTAATATGTATATTTCAATTATGTATATTATATATATAAATTATAGTAATATTAATATGTATATTTCAATTATGTATATTATATATATTATATCAATTGAAATAAATAATATATATTTATATATAAATATTTTTGTTTAAAATATATTTATATATATTTATTAATTTATTTATATTTATATTTGTACATTTATTTATATTTATATTTATATAAATATATAAATATATTTATTTATATATTTATATAAATTTATAAATATATTTATTTCAATTTTGTTTTATAATATGTATATTAATATATATTAATATGTATATTTCAATTATGTATATTATATATATAAATTATAGTAATATTAATATGTATATTTCAATTATGTATATTATTATATTATATCAAATGAAATAAATAATATATATTTATATATAAATATTTTTGTTTAAAATATATTTATATATCTTTATAAATTTATTTATATATATTTTTATAAATATATAATATATTTATTTCAATTTTGTTTTATAATATGTATATTTCAATTAATATTTATATTTTATTATATATATAAATTATATTAATATTAATATGTATATTAGATATATTATATCAATTGAAATAAATATATATATATATTCATATATAAGTATAAATATTTATAAATATATATTTCAATTTTTATAATATGTATATTAATATATATATATATTTATATATATATTAAATATATATTAATATACATATTATAAAACAAAATTGAAATAAAAAATATTATATATATAAATAAAAAATATTAATATATAGAAACAGAGCCAATATATATTTTTAAAAAATCCCAAAAATAATTTTTTTTTTAAAGATTTTGGAATCAAATGTGGGATTCATCAAAACCCTCCAATCTACTTGGGTATGGAGAGTGACTGATTTTTCATGAATCATTCCAAGATTTCAAAACCTATACCCATTAGCCAAGCAACAATTTTGGGATTCAATCCAATTCTTGATTCCTATACCCTCCAACCAAGCACCCCCTAAGTCCATATCCAAATCTTTATGGATCTGGGTATCCATGGGTATTTTCTGAACATACTAAAGTAAAAATATATTTAAAATATATAGAGTTCATAAATAATATAAATACCATCCAATTTTTGTTTTCAAATAATAAAATTAACATTCAACAAGCTGAATGCAATATTGTGAATTCCAAGAAAGAATTATTATTGACTACTTTTATAAAATTTTAAAGATTCAACTGCATCCGCATCCAATATTTCATTTATATGTCTTTACTTTTTCACCTTTTCTTAAAAAAGTTTGTATCAATTACAATGATAACTAGGACTAGTTTTTAGAAAAAGAAAACAACTATAACATATATAAATATTTAGTCTTATTAAAAAAATATAATTTTGTATCTCTTTTTCTTATTTAAACTTCAGTGTTGGTAGATGTCTCGCAATCCAACACTAAAATAGTGAATGAGATAAAAGTCATTTGACTAAGGACCGATGGCAAATAAATAATAGAATAAGAAAATTTATAAACAGTTATTCATTTTTTTTTATCAATCCAATCATCAATAATCACTAATGTTTCAACCATATTTTGAAGCAATTTGGCACGAGTCTCATCAATCACCCAACCATCAATACTAAATGCAGATTCTAATGCTATAAAATCTTACTGTATTCGATCCAATAGCCATAAATTATTATATTATTTTATAAATTTACTAATAAATATATTATTTAATTAAATAAATATGGGTTTGGGTTAGATCTGGTATGGATATGGATTTGGATATGAATTCTAGAAAATTAAATCGTATCTAGATCCACGACTCTCTCACAGGGTCTGGGTTTAAGTAGGGTCTGAATTTGAGAAATTAAATCCAAACCCTACTCAAATATATTGGGTCTGGGTTGGATCTGGATAAGACCCAACCCATTGACATGCCTAATTTTAGATGTCAGACTTTTAGAAATATAAAGTTAATTAGGGACATCGTGCAAATGCATTGGATTTAATTAGGAAAAAGTGTATAAATACAAGAGAAAGTAATAATTATTAATGTGTGTATACATAGTAAATTGGGTGGAATATAAACGTGTTAATTAGAAAAACCCATAAAGGAATGGGCGATGAACATTCACAATCCACGTTTAATAAGGCAGAAGGTTTTGTGCCGGTAACTCTAATTGTAGCTTTGTCTCACAGAATCTTTACCCAAAACGTGGAACGATGATCGTGTTTTCTTCAAAAGCTTTCTGATTACTGGAGATGTGTAATATTATGTAATTGTTGTAGACTTGTAGTGCATAAACTTAATATAATGGGCAAGACTATCAAATGAGGTGATTAGAGCAGAAGGAAAACCTCTCATCTTCCAAGATGTGAAGTTAATGCTGACTGTTTACCAGTAGCATGTGGGACACGCAAATTCTGTCTCTGCTACACTTCTTGGTTGCCAATTCGGGAAAAATCTCGGATGGGAACCTCTCAAAGGACTGTTTTGATCGAGTGAATGAAGACGTCGATTGAATTCCTGATTTGAAGTCTTTTGACACTTTTTTAATCAGTCTTTTGAATTCCTAAGTTGATGCTCTGATGTGAAGTTAACATTCATAACCAAATCGAATTCTCTTATCTCTATATAAGTCACAGGAAATGCTTAATGTGATCACTCAAGCAGCAAACCGTAAAACTTGTACTGTGATTCTAATTGCCTAATTTAGCTGAAAACGATGGAAAAAGGCTTCATGGTTTCAATTGAATTTCGTGCTTGCTCTCTTGATCATGCCTACTACTAATGCTCTAATTCCTGATCTTATATATTTTGCATTGGCTTGTACTTTTTTTAATTATATTTAGGCTTGTACTTAATTATTTCCTAGATCCTATCAGCAAATTATAAAATGCCTGAAAATTGCATATCAAGAAGGTTTTTTCTGTTCGACACCTTTCAACAAAAACTTTATAGTAATTGTTTTGGCTGCGGGTTTCTTGATGGTACGTGCAGACTCGAAGGCGGAGGAAAAAATTTAAGTGTAAATCTGACAGAGATTGTCTTGGAAAACATATACACTGTCCAGAAAATATCAAATGTGTAAATGGATTTTGCCAAGGCGTGGGAACTAAAACTTCAAGCGGGTACAAAGGAAACTAAAAATTCATCGCCATGAGAAGACGACATTGTTGAGAAACTTTTATCTAGAAGATGCCTTATGATAATAATAGTCAGAAAGGAATTTTTGCCTTTTTTTTTTTTTTTTTTTTTTTTTTTGGTTCTTGATGAATAGAAGTAAATATGTGCACAAGTAAGATTCAATGCAACCATTAGGTGTCAAGACATGGGAACCACTCTTAGTAGCAAAAGTAACTCAGTGTCACTTTTATATTTATGTTAAGCGTTCTATTTATTTAAGTTATCACGTGCTCTTTAATTTTTTAATAATTCAAATTGATTTGATTTAACTCAAGTTTCTTTTACTTTCAGGTGATAATTAAGTGGGATTGTCATTGAAATTTTTCAGTATCTGCCGAGAATCCTAACTTAGAATTGCCTGCCAAGTTTAAAGCAGTCAATTAGTAAATCGAGCCATTGCGTCCATAAATCCACACTAATTACAAGTTGGAACCATCCTAGAGATATTCTTAGGCAGATATATGTACCTCTACATAATTTTACCACTTTCCTTTGTCAAGTACTCCAAGACGTTACTAGAGTCAATAATTCATTAACGAGTAATAAATAGCACACCGTCTCGTCTCCATGTATGTAAATATCAGGACATGTTTAGTGTCTTCACCACTCCAAGTGAAAGATATTAACTAGCTGTACCTGCTTCCACTATCGTACAAACTAAAAAGATGAAAATGATGAAAAAAAGGCTCTTGCTTTCAACTAATCTTCGTGGTTGCTCTCTTGATCATGGCTACTGGTATTGGTCCCATCCA